AGAGCCTTAATTGTGCCTACATTAAACACGAAAAACAGTAGTTTACTTGGGAGATCATTTTTTTTCTGATTTTGTTCTTTCAGCAAATATTTGTGGAGCCTAATACATTCTAGGCTCTGTTGGGTGTGATAGGGAAACAACAATAAAGAAAAGTTGTCTGACTCAAGGAGTTAATTATTCAGCCTAATGAATTGCCTATGACTGGAACAGTCAACCAGTTAATGTAGTTCATTCAGGAAGACATGAAATTAGGGGCCAGTAGTTTGTGCTCAAGCTGAAAGGGTGTAGCAGGTGGTTTATTACCCTGGGGCTGCTCTGAATGATGACCTGTCCTCCTTGCTACACGTTCTCCCTGACCAAGTCTATGTGTATTGGCCTATGCTGATGGACCCAGAGAATGACCCAGAGTTAGTGGTCTCCAAACGAGGTACATGCACACAGGGGTGTGTCAGGCAGTCAGTGGGGGCTTAGGCTAAAAATAACTTCTACTTCTACCCCTTTATCCTTTGAAATAGGGAAAAAAACACACTCTATCATATATAATCTAGATTATGACTAGCACATTTCTTCTGGTCATAGGATATGTATGGACCTTGAGACACCCTGAATGAAACGTAGGATTTCCACCCCACCTCATTCTTCAGCCATCAGCTTATTGTGACTTGTGGTTGTTTTCTACTCTTAAGTAGATTAGATAAAGAAAAAAAACAGACTTTTTATGTATAAACAAGGGTAAGCAATTGTGTTAAAAGTGTGAGGACCACTGTCTCTTAAGCTGCAGCCTAGAGGCATGCTAGTCATTCCATCCATGATCCATTTCCATTTTCTTCTTGACAAAACAGCAAGCCTGGATCTTTGTGGCCATTATTAAGCAGTGGATAAAGTAGGCCTTTAGGCCATGCAGAATGGCTCCTCTGGTTATTTTTATCCTCTATCACCTTTAGAAAAATTGATTGGGAATAACACTGAGTTCTAGAAATTGTTTTGGTCTTTCCCTTACCATTAAGTGGTCTCCTAGGGCTGCTATGGACTGAATTGTACCCCCCCACTCATATGTTGAAACCCTAATTCCCAATGTAACTGTATCTGGTGAGTCTTTAGAAGGTTAAATCAGGTCATGAGGGTGGGGCCCTTATCCAACAGGACTGTGGCCTTAGAAGAGAAAGATCTCTCCCACTCCCTCTCTCTCTCTCTCTTCAACTGTCTGCAAGCCAGGAAGAGAGCCTTCATCAGAACCTGTCCATGCTGATACTCTGATCTCAGACTTCCAGACTCCAGAACTGTAAGCAGGTCAATTTCTGTTGTGTAAGCCACAGTCTGTGGTATTTTGTTATATCTGCCCAAGCTAATTAAGACAAAGGCTTATCCTTTGTAGTTAACTGTTGTGAAATCCTGATTATTAGTGCAGTAAAACAGAATGATCAAGAGCACAGACTGGGCTACACTCAGGTTCAAATGTCATGTGATTTTGGGCAAATTCCTTCATCTCCAGGACTCCATTTCCTCAATTACAAAGTAGGGATAATAGGGGCACCTGGGTGGCTCAGTCAGTTAGGCATCTGACTCTTGATTTCCATTCAGGTCAAGATCTCAGAGTCAAGTGATCAAGCCCCATGTCAGGCTCCATGCTGGGTGTGGAACCTGCCCAAGATCTCTCTCTCCTTCTGCCCCTCCTCCCCTTCCCATGCTCTCTCTTTCTCTCTCTCAAAAAATAAAAATAAAATAGGGATAACAATTCCTTAAAATTTGTTTGAGGTATGATCATACAGGGATACTTATTTGGTACCTGGCTTATAATATAGACCTTACATAATAACAGTGATGCTTTAATGATTTATTGATCTCATAAAATTGTGATGGTTTAGGTGGGTAGGAAAAATCTTATCCCTCCGATATTTGCAAGTGGGGCGGAATAAGGTTATATTCAGCATTTCCCTATTTTTTCTCACTTTTAAACTTGTAATTAAGAATCTTCCTTTGTAGTTAAGCTCCTACTTGAATCAAATAAATGCACGTCTTCCCATTATAAAAAAATGTACAATCAGCATTTTGCTATATGCCAATCATACGGCTTAATCACAAGTTGTAGGTAACTTCAAAAGACAACAGAACTTGCATCTAGTTATTGCTAAATGGGCACAAACTACATTTTATAAAGATGTGTTTCAGTAGATATCCTGTAATTTGTCATCATGTCTATAAAATCCCTACATAGTACATCATCTTGGTTGCATCTGTACATATCTTTTGTTGGATGGTGTATTTATTTGTGAGAGCTGCCATAACAAAATACCACCCACTGAGTGGTGTAAGCAACAGCAATTTCCTTTTTTTTTTTTTTTCACAGTTCTGAAGGCCAGAAGTCCAAGATCAAGGTGTCATCAAGTTTGGCTTCTCCTGAGGCTTCTTTTTTTGGTTCACAGATGGCCACCTTTTTGCTGTGTTCCCACATGTTTTCCTTCTGTGTGCCCACATTTCTGGTGTCCTTTGTGGGTCCAAATTCCCTTTTGCTATGAGGACAGCAGTCTGACTAACCCTAAGAACTTCAGTTTAAGTCCAACTTTTTAAAGATCCTATTTCCAAATACAGTCACATTTGAGATACTGGGCGTTAACACTTCAACACAAGAATTTTGAGGGAGAAGGGGACACAATTCAGCCTGCATGTGGTAGACCAGGAAATTCTCCTCAAAACTGGGATTTCGGAGGTGCTTTATGGCAGGTGGGAGTTCTATACCTGTTTACATTTTTTTCAAGCTAAGATTATGGCCATGGTCTAAGACAAAGAAACTGAAATGTTCTGATTCCTCTTTGTGTTTCTGTAAGAGATAAACCAGAATTTCTCAAAAACTTTGGTTCTCCTGGAAATACTCCTTTGGATTTCTTGTTTGTGAGAGCATTTGACTGCATTCTTACCTATGTGACACTCCAATTTTTACAAAATGTCCTCAGTTATCCCTGGCTTGGCCCCTTATTTGACAGCTTCTCACCTAACTCTCAATGCAGACTGCTAGCTGCAGCACACAGTGCCAGTGGGGCATATACTTGCAACCCATGATGCCTTTTAAGATCTGTATCAGAAGATCCTATCACGAAGGCCTGCTGCCTCCTGGATATGCAGCCCATCCATTATTCCAGGTCGTGGGCCCCTGAAACTGAATGCAGAATTGTTCAGAACATTTGTTTCAAAGACAAAGATCCATAGTTTACATCTCATGCCAATTGGGTCTATGGCTTCAAGAAGGTAATGTGCTCTGAATGAGCTCAATTTCTCTCCTTGACTACCGCTGCACATGGTAGCACCGCACACAGGCAGCAACCATCAGCTGTGTTTAAGGGATGTTTGGTGAAGCAGCTCTGTGAATAAGCTTGTATTTAATGAAGAATATTCTCATCAATATTTCCTAACAGTATTCTCTCCTCTGGGTCCCACTGGAGGAGTTTCTCTCTTTCCAGGGCATTCTCCTGATGCTTATTGTACTCTGTTAGAAACCGAATCTTGTGAAAAAAAATTTTCTTATCTTCAAATAGCTGAAAAGTTTTTGACCAGACTTGTGGTGAACCACTCATGAATGTAAAGGGCTTCATAATACCAATTGTATGCACTTTAAAAATGCTTAATGCCATCTTATATTCCTTTCTGTCATATCGTTTTTCTTAGTCTATTTTATCTTGCTATATCATGTCTCCCTTTGTGAAGTGCTTTTCATCATAACTTCTGGGTAGGAAATTTTATCTTTTCCCAATTATGATGGATGTGTATATGGTCATGTGTGTGTGTGTGCAGGGAAAGAGTTAAATGCTCCCTCTTTCTTTCTAGTGAGATGGAGTTTTTATAACAATTTATATCCAGTATTGCCCTTCAAAGGAAGCAAATCCAATGGGGACCACTGAAAAGACTGCAGCTTCTCTGTGATTCTGAGGACGTAGTTTAAACGTGGTGGTTCCAAAACCTCAGTCATTTCTAGGAACAGCAGTAAATTCTCTCTTGCCTTTTCTCCTTAAAGGACAACTACCCCTTAGGGGAAGCACCAGGTGTTGTGTAGGAAGGACGCAATCATGTACTGACATCTTCAGGAGAAGAAAAGACAGCGATACCATCTTAGACCCTTAACTCGGAACACGCGTGCTAAATGTAAGCCCCTGCGGAAAGCTGAGAACCCACTCAAGGTATCCAGACCACCCCTGAAAGGACGTGGGTAGGGGGTGGCTCGAGGAATGTTTCCAGGAGAGTTCATTGGTAAACTTGATCCACTCGGGAAGCGCATTTCAGGAAGCAAGGCCAGTACCGGGGACAGCACCAAGACCCGCGCCCAGGTGGGGAGAGGCAGCAGCACCATGGACAGCACCAACGCCAGCGCCCGGGGCGGAGAGGCGGGGAGAGGCGACCTCATCAGCTGATGCCTTACGTAGGCTGGATCCCCACTTTGAGAAGGCAGGTCTGGATGGGCGCGCCGGCGTTTGCGCTCCAGAGCCGCGGCCCCAGACGGGGTGGGGCTGGGCCTGGGGGGATAGCAGAAGACAGAGCCCAGAAAACAGGTCCCCGCTTGGCTTCCCTGGCACGGAGTTAAGGCTGCAGCCTGCTGCTTGGAGAGAAGGGTGGGTAGCGAGGCGACGCGCGCAGCGAGAGTACTGCTCTGACGCACCAGCACCCCCTCCGGCACCCACACGCTCCAGGGTCGCCCAGCTGCCCCCCGACTTGGGAGATGCTCAGCTCTGGGTGACCAGACAGCTGTCTCTGCCGAGGTGAAAAGCCTGGGCATGTGACAGCTTAGGAGGGCCCTGGCTGTGAGACGCAGCCCAGCACCCTCCTCTCTGCCACACCATCTCCACGTATGCTCACTGGCAGGAGGCTGGGGCCAGTTTCATAGACAATCCCCAGAAACCGCGCCGCCAGCCAGAGGTTGCAAACATCCAGAGTGGCTCTGCGCGCAGTGGCCACCGTCCGTCTTCCTGAACGCCCCTTCTACACTCACTCTGGGCCGGTCTCCTGACCCAACGATGGATTCGCCTCTGAACCTAACCTACTTTTCCCTCTCCACCCCCGCCCCTTTGGAGACCAACCGCAGCAGCCTTGACGCCGAAGACCCGCGCCCCAGCCCGCCCCTCCTCTCTGTCTTCGGTGTGCTTGTTCTGACCTTGCTGGGCTTTCTGGTGGCTGCGACGTTCTCCTGGAACCTCCTGGTGCTGGCGACCATTCTCCGCGTGCGCACCTTCCATCGAGTTCCGCACAACTTAGTGGCGTCCATGGCCATCTCGGATGTGCTCGTGGCCGCTCTGGTCATGCCACTGAGCCTGGTGCATGAGCTGTCCGGCCGCCGTTGGCAGCTGGGCCGACGGCTCTGCCAGCTGTGGATCGCGTGCGATGTGCTCTGCTGTACGGCCAGCATCTGGAATGTGACGGCCATCGCGCTGGACCGCTACTGGTCCATCACCCGCCATCTGGAATACACACTCCGCGCCCGCAAGCGCGTCTCCAACGTAATGATAGTGCTCACCTGGGCGCTCTCCGCGGTGATCTCCCTGGCACCGCTGCTCTTCGGCTGGGGGGAGACCTACTCTGAGGGCAGCGAGGAGTGCCAGGTGAGCCGCGAGCCCTCCTATACCGTGTTCTCCACCGTGGGCGCCTTCTACCTGCCGCTCTGCGTGGTGCTCTTCGTGTACTGGAAGATCTACAAGGCCGCCAAGTTCCGCGTGGGCTCCAGGAAGACCAACAGCGTCTCACCCTTATCGGAGGCGGTGGAGGTGGGTGTTCTAGAGATCCTTGTAAATACTTCACTTGCATTCGTTCAGGCTTTATCTCGGGCAGGCTGACTCCAAAGTTTGTAGAAAGTGAATTTAGTTTTCTTTTGGGGGGAGGGGAGGGGTGAAAGGGGAAGGGATAGACTGGGGGAAAGCATCAGAGACTGACTCTGTGTCAACATGCTTAGCATCACAGAGCTTAATAATGGCCTTTACCATCTCTGATGGATTATTTCCATATACAAAATGAGGGGTTTGGACTACACACTTCCACAGGGTCCCATTTGGTTCTAAAATTCTGTGGCTCTATAACACCCTTTAGAAGGTCTGAAGAAGTCAGTGTCTGGGGCCACTGGATAAACTTGCAACTTGCTGCACCTAGAGTGGGGTGATCAAGGAGGAGGGAGGGGACAGATGGTAACGTGACTTGGCAGAAAGATTGCTCAACATCAGGCAAAGCAGATCAATGTTTTAGCCCAGTCTATTTTTTTCTTTGCAAATTAAAGCAACTAATTTTGCAAAAACATAGTGTCTCCTGGATTACTACCTGCTGTTCTGCAGCATCCTCCTCCCCTGATGCAAGATTATCAAGATGTTTACCTATTTCAGAGCCTGCTTTTGTTATCTACTTCCCTGGCCTGTGGAGCTGCTCTCTGGGTCTGTCCCCAGCCCCATCAGGCCTTTTGTATGCAGGAGAGGATCATTTGTTTGCCTTCCCAAACAAGCTACAGGAGGAAATTAAAAATCTAAGGCAGACAATTCCCCAGCTCTTTACAAGTGGCATTTTCTGTAGGGCTCTTTTCTTGTCCTCTCTCCACCACGCTTTCCTGTTTTGTTGTTAACTCTTAATAATCCAACCCTATGACTGCAGATTCAGGAAATGTACGACAACTGAATCCAATGGATATGGAAATTGCTCCCCCCTGAACAACTCTCATTGCCAAGGTGATCCCTTGAGCCTAATTCATACATTTAAGTTAGGTCAGAAATCTACACAGCCCCATTTTCTGTTATTGGCTCTGGGGCAACATAAATTCCATTAAGCATATTAACCACACACTATGTATGGGCTTGGTGCAAGGAGTAAAGAATGATAAAGACATCATCTTTCCCATGAAGAGCTCCCTCTAGTGAGGGAGATAGACACCTACTGTGAGTGCCGTAATCCGGTTGTGTTTTCCAGATCAGTAGCTAATTCCAACAATAACCAGTCAATCAAGCTCAGAGGGACCAGAGGTGTAGGTAAGGGAGGAGAGAGTGCATCATTCTAGAAGAAGGAAAAGGGGGTCAGAGGCTACCTGTCCTTTTATCTAGAACAGTGGCCTCAACCAGGGGTGATTTGTCCCCTCCAGGGACCATTTGGAATGTCTGGGGACATTATTAGTAAAATTTGGGGGAGAGTACTAATGACATCTAGCATGTAGATGCCAGGGATGCTGCTCAACACTGTATAGTGCACTGGACAGCCCCCACAACAAAAAAATTATTCAGAGCAAAATGGCAATAGTGCCAGATTTGGGAAAACCTGATCTATTAGATTTCTGAACTGAACAAGGAGTGCTGATGGCTAAGAGCACTCGCAGCACCAAACTGCCTGGAGCTTCCACATGTGTGAGAATCCACCCCAACTCTGGGCCAGGAACAAGAGCACCCGCCACCTTCAATGGCCCTCCTTATGGGGGCCCTCTTCTGCCAGGATGCTTATCCAGGTAAATGGTTTACAATCAATACCAGATACAGCTTGAAAAGGAAAAGCAGTCACAGTTTTGTCTTGTGGAACTTACTGCAAAGTGATGCAGGCTTTCACTGCTCTGCTCTGGAGACAGCATTAGCAAGCATTTTGACATTGTTCTGCTTTTATACATTTTTTTTTTGCACTGTTTCATTTTCTCTGTCTCTGTCTCTCTCTCTCTCTCTCTGCCACATAACTTAAGAAAATGGGTCCCTTGGCTTTGCAAGATGTCCAAATGATCCAGGGCTCCACTGTTACTGTGAAGGGTGAATTACAAACCAGGTCTCCTGATTTTTCCCTGGTAGCAGGTGCCGAAGTTTCTAAATACAGTTCTCCCACCACCTAGCTGTGTTACCTAGGGAAACACAACATTCTTCCTTGCTTCTTTGTCTGTTGCATTTTCTTCAAATACATACTGAGAGTTTAACCTCTGTCAGACACTGAGATGGGAGCTGGCAACACAAGAGATGGGCCTTGCTCTTGGCAAAGGATGATGAAACCACTACTAAAGATCTGGCATAAAAAGATAATGCTGAATTTATTGCTTACTAGTCTGCAGTAGAGCTGTGCTGGCCAGGCACAATCTCTCTGAGCAGAGAACAATGCTAATCTTAAATGGCATTTTTGGGAAGCATGGAGATCAGACACGGGGGACTTTGAGAGGGGGAGGTGGGTTGACATATGTATGAGTCTTTTTTTGTCTTTATTTTTTATTTTATTTAAATTCAATTAATTAACATACACTGTATTATTAGATTCAGAGGTAGAATTTAGTGATTCATCAGTTGCATATATCACCCAGTGCTCATCACATCACGCGACCTCCTTAATGACCATCCCCCAGTTACCCCATCCTGCCCTACCCACCTCCCCTCCAGCAACCCTCAGTTTGTTCCCTGGAGTTAAGAGTCTCTTATGGTTTGTCTCCCTCTCTGATTTCATCTTATTTTATCTTTCCCTCCCTTCCCCTATGATCCTGTTTTATTTCTTAAATTCCACATATGAGTGAAATCATATGATAATTGTCTTTCTCTGATTGACTTCTTTTGCTTAGCATAATACCCTCTAGTTCCATCCACGTCATTGCAAATGGTAAGATTTCATTTTCTGATGGCTGAGTAATATTGCATTGTTTATATATACCATTCTTCTTTATCCATTCATCTGTTGATGGACATCTGGGCTCTTTCCATAGTTCGACTATTATGGACATTGCTGCTATAAACATCAGGGTGCAGGTGCCCCTTTGAATTACTACATTTGTATCCTTTGGGTAAATACCTAACAGTGCAATTGCTGCATTGTAGGGAAGCTCTATTTTTAACTTTTTGAGGAACCTCTATGCTGTTTTCCAGAGTGGCTGCACCAGTTAGCATTTCCACCAATAGTGTAAGAGGGTTCCCCTTTCTCTGCATCCTTGCCAACATCTGTCATTTCCTGACTTGTTAATTTTAGCCGTTCTGACTGGTATAAGGTAGTATCTCATGGTAGTTTTGATTTGTATTTCCCTGATGCTGAGTGATGTTGAGCATTTTCTCATGTGTCTGTTGGCCATTTGTATGTCTTCTTTGGAGCGATGTCTATCCATGTCTTCTGCCCATTTCTTGGCTGGATTTTTTGTTTATGGGGTATTGAGTTCTTTATAGATTTTAGATACTAGCCTTTTATCTGATAAGACATTTGCAAATATTTTCTCCCATTTTATAGGTTGTCTTTTAGTTTTGTCAATTTGTTTCCTTTGTTGTGCAAAGCTTCTTATCTTGATGAAGTCCCAATAGTTCATTTTTGCTTTTGTTTCTCTTGCCTTTGGAGATGTGTCTAGCAAGACATTGCTGTGGCTGAGGTCGAAGAGGTTGCTGCTTCCATTCTTCTCTAGGATTTTGATGGATTCCTGTCTCACATTTGGGTCTTTCATCCATTTCGAGTTAATTTCCGTGTATGGTGTAAGAAAATGGTCCAGTTTTCATTCTTCTGCATGTGTCCATCCAAAATTCCTAACATCATTTGTCGAAGAGACTGTCTTTTTTCCATTGGATATTCTTTCCTGCTTTGTCGAAGATTTGTTGAACATAGAGCTGAGGATCCATTTCTGGGTTCTCTATTCTGTTCCACTGATCTATGTGTCTGTTTTTGTGCCAGTACCATACTGTCTTGATGATGACAGCTTTGTAATAGAGCTGGAAGTCCAGAATTGTGATGCCTCCAGTTTTGGTTTTCTTTTACAACATTCCTTTTTCTATTCAGGGTCTTCTGGTTCCATACAAATTTTAGAATTATTTATTCCAGCTTTGTGAATTTTGATAGGGATTGCATTGAATGTATAGATTGCTCTGGGTAGCATAGACATTTTAACAATATATATATATATTTTAATCCATGAGCATGGAATGTTTTCCATTTCTTCATGTCATCTTAGATTTCTTTCATCAGTGTTTTCTAGTTTTCAGAGTACAGATCCTTTGACTCTTTGGTTAGGTTTATTCCTAGGTATCTTATGGTTTTTGGTGCAATTGTAAATGGGATCAATTCCTTAATTTCTCTTTCTTCTGTCTCAGTGTATAGAAATGCAACTGGTTTCTGTGCATTGCTTTTATATCCTGCGACTTTGCTGAATTCCTGTATGAGTTCTAGCAATTTTTGGGTGGAGTCTTTTGGGTTTTCCACATAGAGTATTATGTCATCTGTGAAGAGTGAAAGTTTGAGTTCTTCTTTGCTGATTTGGATGCCTTTTATTTCTTTTTGTTGTCCGAGGCTAGGACTTCCAATACTGTGTTGAACAGCAGTGGTGAGAGTGGACATCCCTTCATGTTCCTGACCTTAGTGGAAAAGCTCTCAGTTTTTCCCCACTGAGAATAATATTCTCTGCGGGTTTTTTGTATATGGCTTTTATGATATTGAGGTATGTTCCCTCTATCCCTACACTGCAGAGAGTTTTAATCAAGAAAGGATGCTGTATTTTGTCAAATGCTTTTTCTGCATCTATTGAGAAGATCATATGGTTCTTATCCTTTCTTTTATTAATGTGGTGTATCACGTTTATTGATTTGCAGATGTTGAACCACCCCTGCATCCCAGGAATAAATCCCACTTGGTCATGGTGAATAATACTTTTAATGTACTGTTGGATCTTATTAGCTAGTATCTTGGTGAGAATTTTTGCATCTGTGTTCATGAGGGATATTGATCTTTAATTCTCCTTTTTGGTGGGGTCTTTGTCTGGTTTTGGGATCAAGGTAATGCTGGCCTCACAGAATAAGTTTGGAAGTTTTCC